TCTACTGTGCTTTTCTCAGAAAAGTCTCAAAAATCCAGCTCCTCCTCTGGTTACAGTTACACTGGATTGCATACCTAGGCTCCAAAAGCAGGTGGATTTGCATTGGAATCCTGGGGCCCCTGCCTGCAGTGTGACTTTGGACAAAGTACCTGACCTTTTCTGCATTTGATTCCTCATTGGTAAATAGGTGCGTACTGGCTACATCACAGGTTTTACATGAAAAAATGAAAAAAAGAAAGAATAAAAACTTAGGTAACCTATGTAAAGCTCTATACACTTAATTGCTGTTATTATTACTCTACTTCAATATAAGTCCTCAAATGTTTTCACTTTGTTTCAACAGATTTCTAACTTGTCTCCCTTGACATAAGAGCCAATAAATTCATTTTATCAGTTGTTCTCAAAATTATTTCTTAAAAAGCTAAATCTGATCATCTCCCTTCCCTTCCCAAAAGACTTTGATATTTTTTTCTCTATGGATTGCCTTTTATGCCATACTAAAGCATTCACTTAAAATGGAATCAATTTAAAACAGGAATGACATCTGCTACCTTTCTCATTTATTTCCTGCTATTCTCCTAAGAGAAGCATAGTCTTCACAAATACCAAACTTATTCTTTCATGGATATGCCAGTTCCTTTGATGCCTTTGGGCCTCTTTCTGTTTCCTATTTTAGTACTTGCCCCATTTCATCTAGAAAACTCCTACTTGTCCTTCAAGACCCAGCTCCTCAAAAAGGTTTTTCCTAAGTCAAAATGGAACCCCCACGATGCTAGTAAGAGTAATTCATGTGCAGTATTTATCACACTGAATTTGCAATTACTGAATGGCAATTACTTCGCACAGGGAAAAGTCCATTTCTGAATAAAAATCAATCAAATCCAGTGTGTTGTGCAGAGTCTGGTACATTATAGGCACTCAATATATATTGAATGAATAAATAACATGTATTCTTAGTTTACAAGATCTTTTCATACATTTATTTTTATCACATTATTATTATATATAAGCATAAGATTGGATACCAGAGGCTTTTTATTATTATCATTATTGTTACTACTATAAACTAAGACTTAGTAAACCTAGCCAACACTTTCCCCAGTTGCAGAATTTTAAAAATATTTAAAAATAACCACCAATATTTTAAAAAATAAAGGCTATAGTGAGCACATGGCTCATATTTTAAGAACAAGGTAATTACATGGATCATGATAATTACCTGGGGGTATTGATAAATATATTGTAGCTGATAATTGTACTCCACTTCAAGTTCAGATTAGAGTGTTCCTTTTAGTTTGCCATGGAAGCAGCTATTTAAAGAGTCAGGCTAAAACCTGGAATGAGAGGAACTCTTTGGAATTACAGTAGCATTCCAAAGTCTTTGCAGTTTCCATCCATTTCTTTCATGTGGCAATAACAATTAATTCAATTTAAAAATGTAAAATGAGTAGATTGTACTATTTTCCCTAATTCCTTGAGAACAATTGAGCAAAATTAACAAGGAAAGATAGTTGATTTTAAACCTAGAGCAGTGTTTATCAAAATGTGAGTAATGATTCATTAGTGCACACAAAATCAATTGTATCATCCCAGTAATTTTAAACAGTGGAATAGAATAGGCAATACTAGAATGTGCTACATGAGGTAAGATTTTTAGTGAAATCTTCATTTCAATTGTGTGTGTGTGTTTACTGGATTGTAATATAAGATATATTTCCCACTGTGATATATATTCCCACTAAATTGGGTCAAAAAAGTGTGAAAGCCTGCCCTATAGGACACAACAATATTGCTCAAGGAGTGGGATCAATTCCAAGTAGCCACTTAATAAAATTGGTTTAATAACTTGATAACTCTGTAATCATGTCTCCATTTGAGTCCCAACCCCCAATTATATCATCATAACTCCAAAAACATAATCAACACCTGATTCATTCACCAAAGTTGGCTTGAAGTAACATTTAATTATTCCCCCAAATGAAATCCATTTCTAAGAGATGTGCATTTGCTACCACAGAAACTATGCAGAAGAATTTGCCATAAAGTCAATACCTAAAAAGAAGTTTGGAAGTGTTTTGAGCAAAAGCAACATCACTAAAGTTAGATTCAGATCGTGATTTTTCAGGGCTGCTCCTGAAGTTTCTGTTTGAATATTATCACATATAATTGTATAATTTTCTCCCAACGAGACTGAGCCTCTATTGTTCAGGAACCTTATTTTACTATTTCTGTATCCTTAGTGCCTTTACATATATGGTCTAGCACATAATAGACATTTAATAAATGTCAAGGAGACAGAACTCATTTGGATAAATACATGTTCCAAAATTTAATGAGAGACTCAAAGTAGCAGCGTATGTTAAGGCTATTCATGCTTCTTTCCCACTTTAAAAGATGCAGTTTTCAAAGTCTCAACTCTACAAAATAGGGCTTTACTGGAGTTTAAAATGCATAATGTTTAAATCAGAGGAATAAAATTTGAAAGAAAAATGAGATATTCTTTTGATATCAGAGTATCACGGGTGTAAGCAGAGAAATAAGCATTCTCATAAAATGCTTGTGATAGGGAAAACTGAAGTAGTTTGGAAATGCGTATCAAAAATCTTTAAATGTGCTTACTCTTTGATGCAGATGTTTTGCTTCTAGTTCTTTATTCTATGGAGAAGTAAAGGTCTTTAAATATGGACACAAGGTTATTACACTCGGTGCTATTTACAATAGATAAAAATGTCTAATACTAGGAGATTAATGAAGTAAATTATGGTAATTCTCACAACAGAATAATATGTAGTGACAAAAACAATGACATTCAAATATATTGGCATAAAAAGGGGCTCAGAAGATATAATGTTAAAAGCAGGAAACAGCAGTAAACTGCAGAATAAAAACATTTTTTATGAGGTGAAATTCACATAATAAAATTAACCACCAGAAAGTGAACAATTCAGTGACTACTTAGTATGTTCACAATATTGGGCAACAGTCACCTCTAGCTCCAAAACTGGATTTCTATCACTCTAAAAGGAAATACGTACCCGTTAAGCAGTTGCTTCCCATTACCTCCTTCCAGCCCCTGGACTTCACCAGTCTGTGTTCTACTCTATGGATCTACCTATTTTAATACTTCACATGAATGGAACAATGCAGTTAAGTGACCTTTTGTCTGTGCCTTCTTTCACTTAATGTTTTGGAGGTTCACATACCTCATAGTGGTACTTGATTCCTTTATATGGCTAAATAATATTTCATTGTGTGTATATAACACAGTTTGTTATCCGTGCATCAGTAGTAAATGGACATGTGGGTTGCTTCCAGCCTTTGGCTACCAGAAACAGTTCTGCTATAAACATGGGTGTACTGCAGAATGTCATTTTAACTATGCAAGTATTAGCAGAGTGGGGTTCAGGAATATTATCACCCATTATTTTTGGGTGGAGGAATCAAGTGAATCATTTTATATTACTTAGCACATTGGCTTCAGAATTAATCAGATCTGATCCTTTTTTTTTTTTTTTTTTTTGAGAGACAGTGTCTCACTTTGTTGCTGGAGCTAGAATGCAATGGCGTCATCATAGCTCACAGCAACCTCAAACTCCTGGGCTCAAGCGATTCTCCTGCCTCAGCCTCCCAAGTAGCTGGGACTACAGGGGTGCACCACCACGCCCCCTAATTTTTTCTATTTTTAGCAGAGACGGATCTCTGGCTCTTACTCAAGCTGGTCTCAAACTTCTGACCTCAAGTGACCCTGCCGCTTCGGCCTCCCAGAGTGCTAGGATTACACCAAGCCAGATCCCATTTCTTTATGTGTAAAGTGAGGAAAATAAAACCTACTTAATTGGATTTTTGTGAAAAGTCAATACTTATATGTAAAGTATTTAGAAATATGAGGTGGGGAGCACATGTTAAGTACTAAATTCATACTATGTTTTAAACAAAATCTTTTTGTTTTTATTTTTTTGGTTATTTTTCCCTAACAGATTACATATTGGTGTTAAAAAGCCTCCCCCTCTCCCCCCAGTGTATTTGTATGCTACACACTTAAGATGCATGTTTCCCTTTGCTGATGGTCATTTGGGCTGGTGCCAGTCAAAGGCTGCTGGATTCTTTGATCTGATGGCATCACTTTGACTAAGTATAGTTATAATTCTCCAAGTTTCAATTAAAATAATGTTCCCAAGTAGCGTGTTTTCAATTCTATGCCACAGCTCCTTCGCCATTCTAGTCTTTGTTTCAACATCACTTCATATGTTGCAGACATAATACCCAGGTTTTACATCTTCGGAATTGTATGGCAGGGACAGAGGGACGGGTGAAGGGCACAGGCTTAATCATACGCAGCTAGGAAAATACATTACGATCAGGTTTTACCAATATATATAAAGTTTTCTCCAGAATATCCCTCTTTTTTACTCCCTAGAAAATCTCAAATTTTATATTTCATTGTAAACTCAAACTTTGCCAAATATGCACATCTTGAACACAGCGGAAGGGTTTCTGTCCGGAGCCCGCCGGGCTGCGGCGTGGCGCCCTCCTGCCCCGCTGGGTCTGGGAAGCCTGAATCCGCGCCCGCAGCCCCCGAGCCGCCCCAGCGCGGGAGTTTCGAGGGGAGCCCGGGGAGAGCCGCGGCGTCACGTGGGGGTCCCGCGGGGACAGACGCCGGGGGTTCGAGGCCCCGCGCGAAGCCGTCCCATCCCTGGAGTCCAGCTGTGGGCGTGCACTGAGGCCGCACGGAGAGGAGCCTGCACGCCCGCGCCCGCACAGGTGTCCGGGTGGGGCGCGCAGGCCCGCCGGCCGGCCCGGAGAGGCGGGGCGGGGGCGCCGCCCATGCGCCGGGGCCGGGGGCCCGGGGGAGGTTCCCGCGAGGTGGTTCTCGGGCTCCTCCTCGGCGCCTCAGGTTTCCTCTGCCCGCCCGCCGGCTGTGGCTGCGGCGCCGCCTCTCTCCCTCCCTCCTCGTGGCTGGGCCCACTCCGCCGCCTCTGCCCGCCTAGCCCCCGCCCGGGCCTCCTCCCGCTCTCCCTCTCCGCTTCCCCTCTAGCCTCCGAGGAGCCCGCAGCCGCGGGGTGCCCGGGAAGATGGCGGCGGCGGGAGACGGCGGCGGCGAGGGGGGCGCGGGCCTGGGCGACGCGGCGGGACCGGGGCTGGGGTCCGGGCTGCGCGCACCCGGCCCCTGCGCCGAGGCGCACGAGGGCAGCCGGGACCCCGCGCCCGCCGCGCTGCACCCGGAGGAGGTCGCCGCGCGGCTGCAGCGGATGCGGCGGGAGCTGAGCAACCGCAGGAAAATCCTGGTGAAAAACCTGCCCCAGGACAGCAATTGCCAGGTACGGGGACGGTGCTGGGGGCGACGGGGCAGGCTCCGGAGAAAAGCTGCCCTCGAGGTGCCCAGGCTGGGACCGGGCGCCTTACAGCGGTCGCGGGGAGGAGGAGGTCGGCGCAGAGTGAAGAGAACGGCCCCTCGCTCTTAGCCTCTCGGGTTTCTAGACTGAAACACCCTGCGAGGAAGGAGGCAGATTAGGAAACTGAGGCTCCGAGGGGCGAAGCGGCTTGTCCAAGGTCACGGGAATCACGGGCGGCTGCCTCCAAGTTCAGACCGCTCTTTCCTTCCCCTATGGCCCATAGGGGAGTAGTAGAAGAAGTAGAGTGGAGGTGAGCTGCGGGCTGCACATTGGGGGGGAGGGGGCGAGCTTCGGGAGTGCCTTGACATGTTAGAAGGGTCCCCCGCAGGGTCTTCGGGACTTGGAAGCGCTATGAGGGGCGGGGTCACGGGAGAGCTGCGAGTGAGTTTTGCTGTTGCAGAAGCACTTGGCCAAGTTTCTATGAAACAACTGTCTCCTCAGTTTGCTAAGGCCCCAGAATAGAGAGGTTATTACTGCGCTTTGGGAGCGTCGCACCGTCTTCTGCCATGCCAAGTACAGTACTGGAGGATTTGTTCCTCAGTGAGGATAGGCTTAAAGATAGGCTACTCGGTCTTTAATCCAGATTAACTGTTGCTTTTAAGATCAAAAACTCTGAATCTATTTAACTTTTTTTTTTCCTGGTTGCAGAAGTTACATGCTCATTGTAGGAAAATTAGAAATAACAGAGAAGCGCAAAGGGGAAAAATAGAAATTACGCATAGTTCTGATACCTATCCAAAGATAACCATTGTTAACCTGGGATTTTAAACATTTCTCTTTTCTTATGCATATGTATACATGTGCATTTTTGTCTTATTAAAAACATGAGATCATTTTTGATTTTTCAGGGTTTCTTAATTGTCTGGATGTTCACATATATTTCACATATAACTTGAATTTCTATACTGTTTTGAGTGTGGTGGGCTGTCTTGGTAGTTGTAGATTTGCGGGAACTCATATAATTCCTCCTGTAACCGGATGTATGGAATTGCAAGAGGGCTGGCTATTGACAGTTGCATGGTACTTCTTCCATGTGACCTATAAAATAATGAGACCGATGCCCCATTGCTGTGTAATTAGACCTTACATAGTCACTCATAATAAATGTGAATGTGTAACCTTATAACCCATATGCATGAGGGCCATTTTGTTTCAAAGTGCAAGGTAAAAAAATTCTGTGTCCATATTGTATATCTCATCCCTCTTGCAACTCCTTCCATTCCACCATTGCCCACTTCCCATCTGTCCAGGTAATGCTTTGTGAGGCTACCTCTACAGACACCTGCAATGGATGCTACCTATACAGACACCTGCAATGGACTGATTTCTTGGAAGCAACTTCCCCTGCCCATGCAAATTGAGGATTGCCAGGGAGCTTAGGAAGAGGGAGACCTGGAAGAAGCAGATGGCATTTTTTTAAAAAAAAACAACAAAGAAATAGCAGTTCTGTGTGTAGATAATCTAGAAGAAGAGACACAGAGAAGTGTCTTGATTTCCTTTGTAGAATATCAGCTATTTTTGTTACCACATTTCCTTGCATTAATTCTAAAAAACGAGATCCAAAATTCAATACAGTTCTGTCTATTCTAACTTTGCTGTTGGCAGCTTTCTCATTTTCCTTCTCAAAAAACATGAAAAGTATATCAAAGGTTCTTATAAAAGGAACAGTTTTAATTAGGTCTGGTATTAATGATGGAGAGAGGCTTTTTGAGAATTACACGGGATTTGTGTTTTTGAGATATTTTTTCTGTTATGAATTTATGTTTAGCCTAAATCTTAGGATTTTATGTAAGGGGTAAACATAAACTAGTGAATAAAATTGGTATAAGATCTAGATGTCTAGATGAGTCTGTTACTGCCAAGTGAAGTATTTAAATTCTTATGCCATGTTTTTTGAGAGCTGAAGAGTTTGATCTAAAAGCAAAAAAAGTTAAGACCAAACTTGTTCCCAGACTTGTCCTAGCATTTATCTTTTCTATAATAATTTCTATGATAAAATGTTTTTAGTATTTCTGATCTATAGTTGAAAAATCTAAACAGTGTTTGATTACGTATACTGTTTGCTTTTCTCATTTCTGTCATCTTTAGTACTTGTACTACCTTTGCTAGTTTTTTGAATGCAATCATAGCTACTAGTGGTCTGTATTACATAGACCAAAGTATGCTAACTTCTAAAAGCAGTTAAAAGACAGTATTTCCCATGGATTATTTAGATCGAGAATTGCTGTTTTTATTGGTCCAATAAAATTAATATTTACTTTGTCTACTTTTTCTCAAGTTGTAATATTTTCATGAATATGTTCTGCATGAACTTTTTTGTATTTTGTCTTTTATCAATTTGCCTTAACAGTTTTAATGTCTAGGGTTTTTTTAGTGACTGTATTTTAGTATTAACTTACTAATGGATGTTTAACTTTAATTTTATTTTGTGTCTTTTAGCCAGTAAGGCCTACCTTAAATTACCTGGACTAAAACTACTTATTTACCCTTATGAAATGATTAATATGGTTTTTGTTTAATTACTAAGTAATCAGATATTTGAATTACTTAAATTCATGTTCTTTTCCAGAAGAGAGTCTGTGTTTATGCATTCGTTTATTTTAGAATATCACATTAAAGATCAAAGACATTCATAACTCTAGTTCTAAAACTGTGTAGTATGTCTCTAGAAAAGTTACTGATTGGTAACTGACTAGTAGAAACCCAATAATTTTTTATTAACAATTTAAATATATGGGTACTTTCTTCGTTAAATATAGTTTTCATAAATCTCAAATTTTGTTTTATTTTTGTTATAACAGATTTACGATAGCATTCTACAACTTTACAATTTTTATAATTAAAAGGCACATTGAAAGTATTATTTTAAGAGGGAGCTTATAGAGGTACATGCATCAAATACCTTACAGAAATACTAGCTCCAAAAAACCATGAACACCTTTATATGAAAAAGTTCTCAAAGCTTTCTCATTGAATAATTACTGTGCATTCAGTCAAGCCCTGTCTGATCTGCCTAAGCTTTCTCAAATCTTCCTGGCCCGCTTTGTTTTCACAGCCTTAGCTCTGGTTTGGGTCCTTTTCATCTCTTGCACAGGGTAATACAACTTTTCAGTTTGTCACCTACCTTCAGTACTATCCCACCTCTTACATTTTAGCCTATACTGTATACTGCTTCACTTGAGAGAGCACAGATCTCTGATCATGTCACTCTCCTGCTCAAAAAAAAAAAAAACCCACACACACAAAAAAACTTTTGGCCCCACATTCCCAGCACCACTTCTCTAACTTTTTCTCAGATTGTCTTCAACATTAAGGAATGGTGAATATGGATTAGACGACTGCACGAGTGAAACTGAAGTTTTGTGTTCTGTCTGAAAAATTCCTATGAATTTTATGTTCTATTAGCAACATAGGATTTAATATAAAAACAGTGCTTTAACTTATTTAACTCCCCTCCAAATTTTTTTTCATAAACTTGGCATTTATGGAACATGTACCATATTTATCCTGTGACGTTCCATATTTCTATATTACCATGGAATACTCAGATCTCAGTTTGAAAAGCGTGACATGATAGAATAGCAATCTAAGATTCTTAGGCTTTTTGTGACTTGGTCCCTGCCTACATTTCCAGTTTCATTTCTTATTAGTACTGCATTGGATTCTACTCCAGCTTTATCAAGCTACTGAGAGCTATAAGTACTTCATGCCACTGTGATTTGAATGTTTATAGTTATATCTTTGACTATTACTAATAGTGTTTTGGAATGTATTTATAGTGAATAATTTATAATGAATAATATTTATAATTATTTGTAATGAATTTATGGTGAATAATAAGGTTGCGAACATTGGCTCTTATTCAGAATAGCCATTGTGTCTATGTGTGTGTATAGTCTTTGGCAACTCTGAATTTAGAATTTGATTAGGTAAGGTAATGTCTTAATATATTAATATGTTATTGCATTTCTATAAATTGTATTTTATGCTTAACTTGGTTCTGTTTCAATAGCATTTTCATTGGGATTTCAAAATGGAGAAAACATGGGCATTTACTTCCTATATTTGTGTTTACTCAGTTTTTTTCTTACATGTCATGTGTGTACTTTTGTTTTTATTGTGTGGTTTACTTTAAAATCTGAAAGAGAGTCTGTTGTGTAATTAGAAGAAAATATGAAGTGCTTACGGCCAACATCCAGGTTCAGTAATAGAAGAAACAAAACATTCTATTGTCTCACTTTGCATATTATAAACGTTCATTTCAAAGTACCCTTATATGATAGTTAATTGAGAAACTTGATTGTTAATTCACAGAAGCCTGATTGAAAGCATAGTATCATCAACTAAGCACTTTTTAGAAGCACAACCCACCAAGTGCAGGAAACTCTGATCTTGTTTTTAAAAGCTACTTATTTCTGTTTTTCTTTTACATTAGTATAAACACAATAGGATTTTTTCACATACTTTGTGTCCTTTAACTGTGGGATTTTCAAATACATTTGTTTTCTCTAATTATATTCAGTAATTATTGCCTTTTTTTTTAGGCAGGGCCTTGCTCTGTTGCCTGGAATAGAGTGTAATAGTGGCGTGATTATAGCTCACTGCACCCCCACACTCCTGGGCTCAAGCAGTCCTCCTGCCTCAGCCTCCCAAGCAGCTGGGACTACGGGTGCATGCCACTGCATCGGGCTAATTTTTCTATTTTTTTGTAGAGACAGGTTCTTGCTCTTGCTCAGGCTGGTCTCATACTCCTGAGCTCAAACGATCCGCACATCCGTGCCCCGCCTTGACCTCCCAGAGTGCCAAGACTACAGGTGTGAGCCACCATGCCTACCTATTACCTCCTTTTAAAATGGGGCTATTATTCACTTTTTCCTGACAATACTGGGATGTTTTCTCATTTTAAAGTTATTCTTTCTTTAATC